CAACCAACCTGTTGTGAAGTAAGTTTCACCAATCTTTGTCAACTTGCATTTCTTTTATTCATGTTACAAGATTTGTCTGCTCAATATTGAGTTTAAAGCTTCCATTCCCAGCTATATAGCCAGAAAAATGATTCTTTCATTAGAATTGAATGTGAATTTTATTCTTCACCTCTCACCATCTATATTTGCCATTTCTCTATCTTCCTGTTTATTTTTTTACGGTGGGAAGTGCTTATGTTGAGAGCTTATAGCAGGTCTTCATTGCTTTCTTTTAGATCTTGATGGGGTAGATTACCTATTTTTGTACTGATACATTCAAAATGAAACACTGACTTATAGGAAATGAAACAATAAATACAATTTGTAACTTTAATTACTTGCAAAGTGCAATATGGGCAACTGAAAGATGGTCAATACTTTGGAAATGCAGGTTGGAGATAAAACCAATCATTTGAGGGTACTCAGGAAGTCCTCAGACTTGTTGAAGCTCGTGTATATAGTACGGATGAAGTTTGGGAACTTTTCAAGTTAGAGAACTGAGTAAGATCTGTTGCATCCACCAACGCGAATGAATTTAGTAGTCGTTCTCACTGGTAATTTTTAGCAGCTTCTGTGTGTCTATTTTAATTATTCTTTTTTGTTTTTTACAATAGAGGAACATCATTCCTATACTTTTTTGCTTTCTTAATTTTTGTTCCAAATCTGAATTCATTCTATTCATTGTTGCACATGAGAACTCAACAGTCTTGGTTTGTGAAATTCTAATGGTTAATGCTGGAATTATATTAACAACATGGTCATTGGGCTTTCAGTTTCTCTCTTGTTGGTTGGCTTCTCCAATTATATGCAAAGTCTGAATTGATAGAGAATCACTATAATAGCCTTACAAGTAGTATTTGACATAACATTGTAAATAGATAGCTCAATAAGTAAATAGATTATGTTTTTTATGCAGATATCTTTGGAATATATATTTTATCCAAACCAATGGTTTTCTGCTACTATCACTCAATTTCCAAATTATGAATATCTTAAATCCAACAATGACAGGTAACTTTAGTTTCTTGAATTTTAATTGATTCTCGTATTTGTTTCTAAGTTTTATTTTTGGCATTTTTTGATTCTTTTTTCTTACTTTTTTTTTGTGATTTTTGTTGATGGGTAAATTCAAGAAAATGCAAACTGAATTTACTCTTCTTTAGTTTAAATTTATACAATGAGAAATATATATATAGATCAAGTTGTGTTTTTAATGATGATGATTTTGTTAAGCTCTGTTATTTATATGTTTATCTATATTTGCACTGTAATATTAATATTTTAAAAAAATAAATAAATAAAAAATGGCTATTCTCAGTTTCACTTGGCACAAATGCGGAGTAGACACTCTGCATCTGTGCGGAGTCGACACTCCGCACAAATCCGAAGTAACACTACGCATCTGTGCGGAGCAACTCCTTACAATGTGGAGTGTTACTCCGCTCCATCCAGGATGGAGCTAGGTCGGATAGCTCCATCCAGCTGGATGAAGCTATATTTGCTAATACAATTTATTCTCATGCATTCAGTTCTAACATTAACAATTTCACCTACCTACTCAACTCCTTACTTAAACCTTCATTTCTTCCATTTTCAACCAATTCATTTTTATTCATTCTCCTCCATCGATCCTCATGCCAGAATTGTCATCACCACATCCTTGTCAAAAAAGTAATTTTTGTTTATCAATTAAACTCTCAGTTACCAGAGGAAGTGAAGCTGTTGGATAATGTATTTTTTTATTTAAACTCTCAATTACCAGAGGAAGGGAAGCTGTTGGATAATGTCTTGAGGAGACACCAGCCATGTCTCCACAAAGAACGGAGAAAGAGGGTGTCTCCGTCCGTGTCTCCGTTCCCCACGGAGGCAACGGAGGTATGAGGTGTCTCAGCAACAAATGCTCCGGACACCACGAAGTAAATGCTCCGTGCTCCGTGGTGTCCAGAGCATTCTGAATTTTTTTTTTTTTTTTTTACTGCGCAAAACAAAAGAATTCCTACTAATAAACTTGAAAAAAAACTGATGCAGCCGTTGTCTTCACTGCTATATTTGTTTCTCACCTTTGCTGGCTCAATTGCTGTGCAATTACAGAACAACTGTGAATGTAATTCACACCCCTTCTTAGTTTTAAAATTTTGTTCTATTTCTTTTAAATTTTTAATGGATTGGTTACTATTTGGAAGTGTTGAAGTTGGATTCTTTGTTGTGTTTTGCTCAAAATTCATGGATGTTTCTTTGACACATTTAACTAAGGAAACAAGATGAGATTTTTTTGCTTCCATTATGTATGTATGTATGTAAGGTGGTTTTAGAGTGCGTTTGGCTAATTTCAAAAATTTTGCTTATAAGTTATTAATTTTGTTTTAAAATACATGATTTCCTTTTATTGACGATGCCCCAAATATTAATCAAATGTAATCATTACACCCCTTTTCAGTTTCTTAGAGTGTTTTCTGTTTATCTTGAATTTTTGATTGCTTAATTCAGGTCTAGAATTTTTGAGTTTCTTTCCTACGCTGAAAGTTGAACGAACAAAATGGAAAATAGTTAATTAAANCCAATTTTTTTTTTTTCCTTTTTATAAGGAGTGCCACTCCGCACAATGCGGATTTAACTTCCTGCAGAGGTCAGTGAAAAATCGGTAACTTCAATTTCACAACAACAACTCCTTCAATTTGACAAGAAATCAAAATCTGAAGTTGAATTAAATCAAACCAATTAAATCTTTCTATGATGGAAAATTTGAAATACAATCTCCTATTTCATCTTAACATTCAAAACGCTAATGTTGGTTTAAAAATAACACATCCCGTGCATTACATGGGTAAAAACTAGTCTTGATAAAAGATCCTCGAAAATATATGGTATCTTTTAGTGAGGTTGAGAGATGAATGATGCACAAGGAAAATGAGAAACATAGACAACAACTACTTGCTTACCAAAACTGCATTGAAGTAAATATATACTTATATATTGAAAAATGTCCCTTATTGTCTTGTACAAAAAAAGATCTTTATGTCTTGGCACGACCATTGCACGTGCTCTTGTCGAAGAAGACCAAGGCAGCTGCACGGCTGGAGGGCCGACGTGGTGTCTCTGGCAGGCACCATTATTCCAAATATCAGTAATATCATGATGATCAACAAAAGATAAGCTCTTGAAGACCATCTGCACAATAGATTTCCCTCTCTAGAAATAATTGCCAAGCATTGATAAAATCTCCGTAAGGGTCCGTCGAGAACTGCAAGACTCGATAGGTTTTAGTGCACATGGTTAGAGATTTTTCGATCATTTCTCGCTTTGTACTGCTTCAATTTTCTATATTTTGAAACTGATGAATTTGGTATTGGCTCACACATCCAATTATTTTCTTGAATTTCCATCTCTTGATGAAAGCCATTCGTGTGTGTGCGAGTGAGATATCAAGCGCAAAAGACGTGATGTGCCAGGACCTAGCATCCGAAAGCCACTGAAGACATGCACCTTACTTTTGAAAAAGTCTATTTAGGGTACGTTTAGCATGGTTATTAAAAAGTCAAAAAAAAAAAAAAAAAAAAAATTGAGACAAATAGCAGCTTTTGAATCGTTTGACTAATTTGGTATTGGCTCACACATCCAATTATTTTCTTGAATTTCCATCTCTTGATGAAAAGCCATTCGTGTGTGTGCGAGTGAGATATCAAGCGCAAAAGACGTGATTGTCACGTTAAATTCAGTGCTATTGTTCTTTACATTGCGCAAATTGTTTGGACATGAAGTCTCTTTTTGACTTAGATAAAAATCAAATATTTAGTAGATTTTAATAAATATTGGTAAAATTTGTGATTAAATAATTGATAAAAATTGTGAATTTCATAAGATATGCGATTAAAAATGAATTTGAAAAAAACGACTTTTGAGAGATGGGACCAAATAGAGTTTAAAATTTATTTTTCCTCAAACTCATTTTTAATTACACATTTCGTGGAATTCGCATATTTTATCAAATTTTCAACCACATGTTTTACTATTTTTTATCAAAATATATTTCAAAAAATTTAATTTTTATGTAGACCAAACATGAGCCAAATCTGTCACTACATATCCTATTATGCAAATTGTTTGGACATTGAATGTTCTAGAAACCATGTTCTTGTTTGATTTCCACTTTCAAAATTTATTTTTCTTAAAAATCATTTTCAATCACACGTACCATGGAATCGATAACTTTCATTAAGATTTATAAAAACCATTTCTAGTATCATTCAATGGGCATCTTAACTTTCCTAAAAGGTACATTTGGCAAGATTTGTGAAAAGTTAAAAGTTACTTTTAAGATTAAAAATTACTTTTTAACATGTTTAAATAATTTTTTGAAAGCACTTATCTGACCAGAAAAAATTTTAGAATAATACGTCATAAATTAATTTTCTCAATATACTCTTTTACAATAAAGAGAAGCTCTATTAATCGAACCCTAGATTATGCAATATGATGTGAAATTGGGCAATTGCTAAAAGAGGATCAATCTACCTAACATTCAAATTCCATTTAAGACCTTGTTTGGTGTAGGTAAATAATTTTTTTAGTAAATTTTAATAAAAGTTGATAAGAATATAATTAAAAAAATCGATAAAAATTATTGATTCATAAAATGTACTATTAAAATTAAAGTACACCAAACACGGGCTAAAAAGAAGTCTACATTGATCAAAGAACAATTACATGAAACTGCTCATTATAGGAGTAATTCGACAAGCACAATCAAGTTCGACTTCTACTACTCCCTGCAAAATATAAAACAAGTGCAAGGATTTGGAGTCGAGATTACACAGCAAATGGTTGATCGCTCCATTAAATTTTTCTGATTTCTATGCTAAATTATGTACTTATGGGCTTAATCTTTTGTCAAAAATGAAAAGATCAAGCTAAATGCAAAACGAAATTGTATTTTGGTGATAAAATTCTGGACGGAGTCAAATTCACAGACGCCGCCGCCGGGAAATGGTGGAAGATCCGAACATCTGATCGAGGATGATCACAATGGCCATTGAAATAGCCATATCAAATTCCGGCTCTACGATTAGACGGAATACATCCGTTCCGAAAGCTACGCCTTTGACGGCGGCCTCTTTCGGCTTGATCTCCGCCACTTGCCGTCGGTTTTTATCGTACATGGCACAGCACCGCTGCACGTAGGACCCCTCAATCACGTGAACCGCTTCGGGCTTTCCGGCCGGGGAGCTAACGTGAACCAGGCACTTTGTATTCAGGAGGTTGATATTTTTCTTCACCGAAAACCTCGGATTCGTTGCAGTCTCTCCGTCAAACACCAACCAGCTCAGTTTCTGGTACACATAATGGTTTGGATTACTCGTTAGAGACTAAAAACGAGTACACGAATCTCAAAATTGGCATGCACAGACGAGCAGTCGATTACGTACCTTACGGCGAATAGTGAGGAGAGAGTTGCCGGAAGCGTCCATGAGAACAATTTGAGCTTTATTATGGGACATATAATTGTCAACTCGGAAGACGAGGTCGCCCTTGGCGTCGAACACGGTGAAACCATCGCAGTTAAATAGCAGCGACTTCTTCCACACTGTCAGCACCGTCGAGGAGCCATTGCTAGAGGGTGGCGCTGCCTCTGGAAGGGTTGCGTTTGGGTGTACCTTTGTCATTCTGATCAACTCCTTTAGAAGATAGATAGAAGAAAGAGGCGAGGAGTGAGTGGTGATTGTTCTTGGGGACTACCATATGCTATATATAGCTGTATATTATTTATGAGCTTTGCTATACACGCCCCCTCACAAGAGGGCGGCCACAATTATTTTAATCACAGTGGGGCCCCTCTTGTGAGGGGCGTGTACACGGGAAATTCCGTGTATATTTAGCATTTTTCATTATTTTAGCTCTGTTTGGTTTACATTATTTTTTTCATTCTTCTACTCATTTTCAACCACACATTCTTTAATAAAATAATATTTTACATTATATCAATAATTTTTCCTTTTTTTTCAATCATATATTCTCCATAACATCAACAGTAAAAATGCATTCTTTCTTTCAAAATGTGCACCAAATGGGGACTTATATGTAAATTATATTCACCAATCAGAGAGTTTATCTTTGGTCAATGTTTGATATTGATTAAAATTCAGATTTTAATACAATTTTTCAATCGTACATTTTATTATTAAAATTTACTAAAAATTATTTTTTAATCTCCACCAAACAGGAGCAAAGAAACAAAGTAAAGAGGTGGAGAGTGGGGACTGATATTTAGAGGGAAGTAACTCTTGTGGGATGACTATTAAAATGATTTTATTTATTTATTTTGGAGAAAATGAGTTTTAAAATACTATTTTTTTTGTGGGATGTGTAGTTGAAGAATAGTATAAAATTTTGAATTTACATATAAAATATTTTATTGTAAAAATGTGTGGTTAAAAATGAGTTTGAGAATAAAAAATTGTTTGAATGGTTGCCAAATGGGGCTTAATTTTTTATTTTTATTTTAAAAAAAATGTTATTATTAGCATGGGAGTATTAGTCGTAATATACAAGTTTTGTTGGTTTTTCCAATTTAAAAATGACAATCAATCAATGCATTTTGGAAGTAATATGTACTCTCAATTATTTTTCTAATATGTCAATAGTTTCCTCTAATGAAGATTAGAGAGGAAAAAGGCTTAGAATTAAACAAAGACAAAGAAGTTATTAGTTTAATCTAATGATGTGCATAGATAGATTTCATGTAATTTTCATTTATTATTGTCAAATAGCAAATAAAATATTATAACAAAATTAAGACGGGCTCCATTTTTTCAAAAATTCATTTCCTCAAAATTTATTTTCAATCAATTCTGTAATTTTATACGTAAATCCAAAATTTTTTCTTATTTAAAACTCACTTTCAACCATACATTCTTTCATAAAATAATTTTACACGCAAATTCAAAAAAATTCTTTATTTTTTAATCAAACATTCTTTAAGAAATCACTATTTCAAAACATATTTTTCATAAAAAAAAAATGAAGTTAAACGGGTTAAGTACAATAAATGAATTAATAATGATATTCATAATGAAAATTACCGATAGTCGTCTTACGTGTGTTACACACATGACAGTTTGTTATTTGATGTATTAAGCAATAAAAGCTATAACATTTATGAATCAAATAACAAGCTGTCATGTGTATACCACGTATGACGATACGTATGACGACTATAAATTAGCTTTCAGTATAAATAATTAAATATCATTACTTTGAATGAGATGTGTGGTAGAGGACCAATTAAGAAGTTCGTCACCAATCCAACTACCATCTCCCATCCCACCTAGATATTTTGCTTTGAATATTTAGTTTATTGCTATTGAGTTTTCAAAGTAAAAATCAAACACATTGGGACAAAACGAGTGAAGGGATGGGATGGTCGGTTTGTGTGGACGAACAGGATTAAGATTAGATATTAAAATTTTAACCTTACAAATTTCAACTTTGTAATAATAATGTTTATTTAATAATGATAACGTCAATCCACCGTCCCACATAGTACTTCGACTCCTCAACAATTTCATTTAATTACACTAATTTATGCCAAGCTGACGCCTTCCGCCTTCTTTTTGTAATTATTTAAAGGCTACTATGATTGTTACC